TCCCATCAACGAAGACCTTTTATTGACGGAGATTTTCTCTCTTTTCTGTTTTAGCTGAACATGCTTCGAAGCCTTAGAGCAGACAACACCACTATRCTGGTGGACACATTTCGCCCTGTTCAACCTCTAGGTTCTCGTGTTGTTAAGAAAACATTTAAAACTGCGACCAMCAGCCATGGAGAAGCGTCTCACGTGACTAACGCCATGACGATAATTATGTCCATTGTCATGGCAACGGTTTTGTCCAAGTAGTGTACCACATTTTCTGTTCAGTTTTTTGAAATAGTGTGCAAGCTTTTACAAGGCTTTTTTAGTATTAATACATAAGTATTTCAAGCGTTCTTAAAATTTTTTAAGCCAAAACGTTTTACGTTTGCAGAAATAAGCACAATTTCAGCACTTCCATTTAGCCACGAAGCCTAATCATTTTTTTAAATAAAATAGACTGCGTGATGATGAGCTATGCTAAGCGAAATACTGATCGTGAATAATTGATAAAAACATACCCACCTTTGCAATAAAATATGTAACTCATTAATAATGGCGTCACTTATCAAAAGCTTATCAGCAACGCTGCTCCCCCCTCCCCCCCTAACGTGATGGCCTGAAAATCAATAATTTTAAGACTAAGGAAAATTGAGAAAGAGTCTTGCAATTTTTCTCGATTCTGATTGGCTAACATTGTTTTTCTCAGATCAGCTTGAAGTGCAGGATGTATAGAAGGGGAGGGACTGGTAATCCATTTGTAAGGACAATGAACCGTTTCGAGCATGGATATAAGGATATTAGCTATTCAAAAGCTGAGGACCAAACTGTGTCGAGTTGACATTGCAGTGCATTATGGGACTCACCTACAATATTCCCATGATGCACTGCAATGCCAACTCGACCCAGTCTAATCCTCAGCCTCGGAATGGCAGATAGGCCGAATGGAAAGTAATGAGTTTATGATATTTTCCATCAGTATTGTACGATTCCGATTTGATTAGTATAGAACAAATTCTCCCCATGGGCACCAATGATAGTCAGAACAAGCATTAGCCTAACCATTCTCAGTATATAGACCCTTTAAGAAATTTATTGGGTGAGCGAACAGGAAAATACAAAAACGAAAAGATCAAATTCCATTGTTCTTCATTTCTTTTGTATTTCCTGTTAGACTTGCATCCATGAAAATTTTAAAAGCGGTCATGGTGCTCAATAGCTAGATCTAGCGAAAGTTATCAAGTACATTTCTGACTTATGGTATGACTGGCATGGTTCGACAGAAAACTTTATTCTATAAAAAAAAAAACGAAAAAAAAAATAAACAACTACACATGCAATATATGCACGAAACATTGACATTGGCATAAAAAGAGCAATAATTATCCACATTCATTGTCCACCGCCCCATTTGTACGAGAAATGCTTTGCCATTAAAAAACTTAAAAAACAATAACAAAAAAGTCGACCGTTACATTTGAATGGTAAGATGAAGAAAAAAACCAACTTTTTTTATATATTGTCGTATCACAATGAATTAAGTTCCAAAAGTGCCAGCTCAAAGATCGAATTTGGATGATTCGAATATCTCTCGAATAACCGGATAGAACTCAAGTATTAAACTCAATGAAATCGAATAGACCGGTGAATATCAATTAGCGTTGAGTGACGACGATGAGAACAGCTAAAAGTGGCTGTACCGTGAACACGATCGGTGTTTCAGTCATAACTCATCAGTTATTTATACGTAGATTTCCTTAGTTACAGTTTGTCACATCTCATCATCCACTCCAATAAGTGCGTAAACGTGTTTGAGCAGACTAATCATGAAAGTGTGATACACAAGTGGGATTAAAGGGATATTCATCAGCCTGAAAGTCTATGACAGATTTAACCTTTTCTTCCCTATTTATCCATCGAACAAATGTGCCAGACATGGACCGATTTTTAACACGGATTTTGGTCCACTTGGGGCTGAAAACGATTTGCCCGTGGTCGACACACCCATCTGCAAATATACCAACATGAGGGTTCTTCATAAACGGGTTCAAAGCCATTAGAGTTTGCTGTCTGAAGTTCTTGACTGCCTTCATTTCTTTTCTGTCGCATTTGTCAGGTTTGTAGGCGCAATGAATACCTACAACATTTGCTAACTGCCATGAATCATGAAGGGGGTTGACAATAAACAGAGGAGTTTGGATATATTCACCAAAATAATAAGGAAAAAGACACTTCCACGCACTCTTCTCGCCTTGGTGGGCTTTACATTTAGGATTAATGCTTCCAGACGACTGGTGCAACTCGTAAACGGCTTTCATTGAATCAGCAAACAGGGACTTGCCTTTCATGTCGTTTACATCGAGAAAGACTCCAGAATCCGCCAGCGAGTACACATTCACCTTTGTGGGAATGCGGCTACGAACATAGTCTGCGTTTAAGAGTACTGCTAGCCCTCCTGCAGAAGTACCTGAGAAGACTACTTTCTTTGAATGACTTAATCCATGAGCCAGTAAGTCATCTAACAGAGCACTTAGAATTCGCTTGCCTCTGAAATAGATCATTCTTTCTTTGACAACGATTGGGTGTGACCGATTCCCAGTGTACGATGCTCCATCGCAGTAAGGCACATACACTGCATTCCAATTGTAAAAGTCTTGATTTTTTGCTTCGTCTCGGGAAAGGAGGCCTTCGGCATTGTGTAGATGGGTGAATTTCAATGAAGAACCAAGGTTGGATTTACTTCTCTCATAGCAGTCCTCCTTGCTATCGCACCAAGCGCCTCCCTGCAGGTAAATGATCCATTTTCTTTCGCCACTTCCAACTCCTCTTCTATAAAAGTAGCCCGGGGTTGAGCCATCCAGACATACGGCACCCTTCTTTTCAGCATCTTTGATACTTACGTATATGTATTGCGGTGCTGTGTATTGTGGCATGTTATACTGGATCGGTACACCGTATGGATATTGGACGACATACGAGGAATGTTTATGGGTTTTTTTAAGATGAGACTTATTGCGCCACAGTTCATCGTTTTGGTCTCCTCTGTAGGTGAGTTTCTCTTTAGATTGTATTCCATTGCTGCTACTTTCCTGGGACAAATCTTCCTCTAGACCTTCTAAGATTGTTTGTGTCTTAGAAGAACGAAGCATGTCTTCACCGGAAGCCTCGTCTTCAGGGCTGTTGTCCCGCACGACTGTCTCGCTAATATCCGCATTCTCGTCACCGTCATAAGCAACAGCCTCTCCACTTAAGCTTCCCGATGCTTCAGCTTTATCATTAAAAGAGGCAGCAGAAGCTTCTTCGTGATCGTCATGGTTTTTGTTCATCGCTATTTTGTGTCTGTAAGATCCCATTACTTGGTCTCCTTGAGCGTCAATGTATGAAGAAACTGAATCCTTGTCCATCTTGGATGGTACTTTGTCTTTTACTTCGCTTGCGGCCGCCGTTATGTAAGAATCCACCGAATCTCTCCGATCTGAATTTGTAGTCGAACTGTGTTCATCTTCGCTCTCCTCTATTGTGTCTCTAAGGTTTCCTTTTCGTTCTTGCTTGCCATTCCATCCAGTGTATGACTCAACTGGATCCCGTTCATCAGACATCTTGTCGGGTTTGATGACATCTCTTGTTGTGCCACTTATTGAATCAGTCTTCTTGAATGCAGCAACTGGATCCCGTTCATCAGACATCCTGTCGGGTTTGATGACATCTCTTGTTGTGCCACTTACTGAATCAGTCTTCTTGAATGCAGCAACTGGATCCCGTTCATCAGACATCTTGTCGGGTTTGATGACATCTCTTGTTGTGCCACTTACTGAATCAATGTGCATGAATGCAGCAACTGGATCCTGTTCATCAGACATCTTGTCGGCTTTGATGACATCTCTTGTTGTGCCACTTACTGAATCAGTGTGCATGAATGCAGCAACTGGATCTCGTTCATCAGACATCTTGTCGGCTTTGATGACATCTCTTGTTGTGCCACTTACTGAATCAAACTTCTTGAATACAGCAACTGGATCTCGTTCCTCAGACATCTTGTTCACTTTGATGACATCTCTTGTTGTGCCACTTACTGAATCAGGCTTCATGAATGCAGCAACGGAATCTCCACTAGAACTAGAAATCTTTGGTTCATCAGGCGCGTCTTCATCTCCACTTGTACTTTGCTCTTCACCTTGATAATTACCAGTAATATCATCAGTACTTTTAATATCCTTGGTATCTTCTGATGAACCACTACCATCAGAGCCATCAATCATGTACTTCGAGTATTTTCCACTTGCATTGTTTTCGTGTCTACCTGTTTTGTCATTACCTTGGACGTCTTTGCTGGTATCTTCGTGTAGAGAGATGTCAGGTTCATTTCCGTGTTTGTGTAATTTTTGTTCGATTTTTACCCCCGATGCTGGAGTTAAGTTTCGGACAAGTTCTAAAACATTTTCCCGCCGATGGCCTGGTTGGTTTGTAAAGAGATTTTCTACATCCATCGATAGTGGCTTTGATTCCTCATTCTCCGACGTTGTACCGATGTTGCTACGTCGAGCCAACTGCCGTGGAGCTTGTTGCGAAAGACCACATAACAAAAACAACACCAAAAAGCAGGCAATCTCCATTTAAACAGACGGAGGCAAACCTACCACAGTAACAGTTGGATAGGCAAGGTGGCAATTCTGTTTGGTAACTAGCTTGCTAGTTGAACAGTTCTCGAGTAGCTAACATTGACATAATTTGATCTCATGAATATACCTGTTGCAATGTTTTCAAAACTTGGCCATCTGTGTCGGGCTATCCTGCTGTCAAGTACAATTTTGTATYCCTAAAATATTGCAGAACGTATCCCTATCTAATGTAGTAGGAATAGAAAAATGACCAAAATAAGGTTTTCTAACTTAGTTTTTGAAAAGATTTTGGTTTGAAATTAATTTTTAAGGCTTGGGCCAAACCAATCAAATATTTCACATGGGTGAACACGGCAATTTCTGAAGCCTGCTTTGTTTATACAAAAGAAACTGGTACTTTTCATATGGATCACTTACGGGTGGGTGGGTGACTGCAAAGTTTATTTAGACCTCTAGTTTGGATAGAAGTATTTCAGTATAGTCTGTGGCCATGCACCTTCATCACTCAGTTCGTGTTTTAAATTTCCAGTAGAAGCTAGTTTGAAATTCCAATCGAGATGGCTCTTTAATAGGAAACTCGGTCTCATTTCAATATTTTTTTWAAATATTGTTTTCAAAGTATCAAGATGATAATCTTACATTTCATTAAATACCGGTGGGTCATAAGCCTAACCCATGGTGTTGCGTTCATGGCGTTGATGTCATAAAAGACTACAACGTTTTGTCAAAGGTACCGCAAGGATAACGAGGCAATTTCTGAGGACGTTTACTCATGTTATCCGCTAAATCGAGTATTTGAAATGTGAAATCGAGCGAAATACTTCGAATCCTTCGAATGTCAACAAGCATAAGAAGGGCACAGGGAGCCCGATCTCTGAAAAGTGCAATTAGTATCCACGAGTTCGCCAAAGGCTGTTTGATTCTACCTCATACTGCAGTAAGATGCCCAACTCCCTCTCTGCCGCACCGACTTTTTATTAGTCAAAGTATTAATTAATTTGTAGAGTAGATTTATGTTTTGATAAGTATAATAGTAAGTATAATAAGAGAAAAGATAACTAGCTAAAAACTAGTGTGAGCTGCGTCGGTGTTTCTAATGAAACAGTAATGATGAAAAGGTAAATTATACACCGTGAAATGATGAAAAAACTTACTGACGTTTCGGACGCTAGTCCTTCGTCGGAGTAAAAGAGCGACGAAGGACTAGCGTCCGAAACGTCAGTAAGTTTTTTCATCTTTTCATGGTGTATAATTTACCTTTTCATCATTACAGTAAGTATAATAGTAAGTTTAATAAGTATAATAGTTTACCGTGTTTAAATAAAGCATCAATCTATCTCTCTACGTAAGTCGATTGTAATTGAATTTAAAAACTTTACTGAGCGAGTGAGTATCCAAAGTCCTCACAAGTGATTCGTTACCCCGCTTCGAGTTAAAAAAACACTCATTGATTGTTTGAAATAAAGCTGTTAAAAAATGGTTGGACATAAATCAAGATTATCAGGCCGACAACTGTCATGTCATCACCCTTTTAGTTTTTTAATAAAAGTGATAATAATAGCATAATCCTTTAGTTAATGCCAGCAATTATGACGGTTGAAATCGGTTCAAGTGGCCATCTTTGTCGCCTGAACCACATTCAAACGATAACATACTGACTGTATTGATCAGACTAAGAATTGGTGAGAAAGCTGTTTATTTAGAGTCTAAACTTTTCAAATAACATTAAAGTCAGCCACAAAAAGAGTTTTGAGACGATAACGAACACAAATATTTTTCGAAACAAAAAGAAGAAAATAACTAGTTACATTTTAATTAAGAGTTTGTTTTTTTAGTCAGCTTTGTACTTTGTACACTCCGTCGCTTTGGCAATGCACAGATGCTCAGTAAAAGTGCTCTTTATAAACTAGAAATATTATCTTAGAAATATTCATAGAATATTCCTAGTCCTTCAGGACATGGGGTTGGTGGTGCAACTTGAAAGAAAAGTTTGAAATAAGTACCAAAAAATAACTATCAGTACTACCCGACATTTTGAGAAAAATCGAAAGGTCGATTTACAAGGTACGATTTTCCCTTGCAACTGTCGTGTGCAACATGATGACGATACAAATTACTTCGTGCAAATCGACCGTGCAACTTGGTTACGATCGTAAACGGCAGCTACAACTTCGCATAAACATTTTGCGCGCGACAGTTGTAAGGAAAAAATCGTCGTGTTTGCGCAAATACTTTTGAAGGCTATTCAAAAATTACCTTTCCAACAAGGCACACCTTTGGCGGTTTATCACACCTACACTCACAATGATCGCTATCCCATCGATTTCCTTCAGGACATGGGGACACACCTACACTCTTCTGGTTTCCAAACCTGAACCGCTGTACAGTCACTAGGTTTAGCAACACACTGACATCCACATTGTGTATGGTTGACCAATTGAATTGTACGTTGGATGCTTTTTTTCAAGTCGAAGACAGTAATCGTTACGTTTTTAGTTTCTGTTGCTACGCAACTCTTGATGCTGGGTTGAATGAATTGACACGATCCGCCACAGCGATGCAGTTTTACAAAGTACGGGAAATATCCGTAATTAGGATGGTCAATAGGTACAAGTGTTGGGTGTGGGTTACAGAATTGTGCTTCAAGAACAGCGTCTATTAAAAAAAAAGAACAAATCGTATAAGAGTTAATTACTAAATCATTCAAAATCTCTTCCACAGTTAGAGGGATTTCATTTATAGGGGAGGGGGGTTCGGCAAAATCACCGCCCCTACATTCCTCCATGGTAGAGACAAACATTGCATAACCCCCTTTTCAATATCCTGCAATAGTTGTCAACCCCCCTCGATATGTGATAACCCCCCTAACCACTTTCATGCGTTAATTGATGCGCGCACAATCGAACGTTCAAAAGTAGGCAGTCACCTTAATCGCCGCCTACAAATGTTGCGGTTTATTGAGTTGTTCAACTTTCCGGTGGAAGTGATTCATTTCGTAACATTTCCAGCCTTACTTAGAATTCTATTGTACGGCACTCAGTCTTAAGGGAACACAACGAAGCATAGTATAGCGGCTATTTTCCAATACCATACCCAGAAAAACTAAAAAAGGATCTTAGAAAAGTTTTTCTTAGCTTTAAAAAATCCTGATATGATTTTGTTAGGTTACTAATAGATAGATAATAATAGATATTATATAGCGCCATATCTAAGACTCTATGGCGCTTCACAAAATACTTGTTTAAATACATGCAAAACATTAAAAAAAACTAATCCAAAAACATCTAAAGATAAAACTAGAGGATATAAGTTAAGAAAAGAATAAATAAGATAATAAAAACAACTTATATATAGTTATAGTGGGTGGAGAAATTAGCGATCATTACGTAACGAAAAATATATTTCATTGAATTGTTTGTCAGTTTCCAGCGTTTTGCCTTGCCACATAGCTACGAAAATAACGTTTGATGTTGGAGCTAATTACTTCATTAGAGAGTTTTAGATTGACTTTTTTTTCTCCCCGCAAACGGCAAACGTGACCACGTTTTCATAGTTTTCCTTTATTTTACTTTACCTTTTACAAACCTTCTCACCAAGCGCAAATACTCTTTCGTTTGTCTAATACTTGGACTTTTTGCGATTCTTTTTCAGTAATTTAAAATAATTTTTTATTGGTCAACTGACGTTTCACGTTTGCCGTGAACGTAAATCTAAAACTCTCTATTATCACCTTTTCACGTCAAGAAGGCGGTTAGATAGGAAACACGGCCCCTTCCGGGCTTAAGAATGTCCTTGCTAAAACAATAACGCACCCAAACCATGCTTACTACACTTCCTCTCCCAGGAGATTAGTAATTCGATAACTGAACATTTAGTGGTAACTCGTAACCTCCTAGAGTGAATCCAAGATACTTCACATACATGTGTTTAGCAACTGGTGAACTATTACTTTGAAAAAAAATATACGACTTGCTCTTGGGGAATTATTAGCCTGAGACTTAAGCCAATACCCTTTGATTTTCCTCCACAGTGATTGTATTTTTACTTGTCTAATAGTCTCCGCATCGAACTTTACTAGATATATTCTCACTATAATCTTGTATTGGGTATTATCGGTTAGTGACTTGAGGCAGTGCCTACTGACTGACATCATTTATAACAGTTATTTCATGATATATAAACAAAGAATTACCTGATCCACAAAAGAGGGGAACCAAGAGCAGCAAGACCAAATGGTATTTCATATTTAGACAAGAAACTGTTTCCTTTAAGGAAGAACCAACTATATTCCCTTCTAGAACACTGTAGAAATACAGACTAATGCGATTTGATATGGTACAAGGGTTCCTAAAAAAAACATAAAAAGAATAATGTCAGCTTTACAAAAAGGGGAAAAAACAATATCATTTAGTGACAATAGAGATTGTAGTAATAAGAGAGTCATACTCACCAACTCAGTAAATAAAGTCAGGATATCAACRCCAATAGAACYGACTTTTCTAGTACCTCTGGACGATATTGCTACCTATTAATRACTTTTGCTTTGTCTTGGCTTAATACCCAAGCTGATAACAAGTTTTGTATATGTCAAATAATTCGATCGAGACTCGGTAGTTTAGTTACCATCAAGCATGACACGCTTTATAGTTGTCCTGAACTGCTGGATCATGTTGGCCTGTTATACGTACAACCAAGTCGCACCCTGTCGCCATGACGTCACAAAATATGCAGACAGCATGTAGAMAGAACACATGGATGTGACGTATCTACAAAACACTCCTCGCTCCCCATTGTAATCCCGCGCGTTCATGGATGACCAGAGCAGTCTCTAAGAATGTTTCTTTATTCGTCCAGGACTCTAGGCGCGCGGTCATGTTAGGGATTGATATTTTTTCAAGTCAGAAAATCATGCATTGCGCGCTTTACGAGATCACCTGGAATGCATGAGTCAACGAAAACCCCGACCCCTCCCCCCTCCCACACCGAGACAATGTGGGGCTTAGAGGGGGATAGAAGGGGAATAGACTGCCAATCGCCCCCCGAGGTGGGGCATTTTTAGTAATAAAACTGGCCCGTGGGGGTTGGGCATAGGTGGGGTATTTATACTGAGTCTGCAATATCGAAGTCAGCGGCTGTGTACAAGAAAGATAATTCACGTAGTTTTTGATCGTAAAGATGACAGCTTTTGTTATTCAAATTGTTTTTTTTTTATTGAAATTAAAAGCCGTCCTTGCTCTATAAGCATGTAAAACATCAAAAGAATATTGATGTACAATGTATGATGAATTTTTTCTTTTTTTTTTTCCTGTGGTCTTGGTCGGTCTTATATCAGTGCCCAAATAGCAATATACTCAGTTTGTGGGATTGTCGTGATTTTGTTGTTATATTAGAAACACATCTGGTTTTGACAACTCTCCATTTCCTATAGCTTTTTATTCTATCATGGACTAGAAAATCTTTGCCGAAAAATGCAAGATTCCACAAGACTTTTCAGAGGGCCAACATTTTTTTTCTAATCCCCACCTTGCCCCGGGGTGGGGGAAGGGAGGGGTCGGGGTTTTCGTTGACTCATGCGCGAATCTACACTATAGATTTCGCTCGAGACAACTAACTCCAAATAAATAAACAGTAATTTACAGACTTGAATGAAGACAAATTAAATAGCATTTCTAAAAAAATTTCTACAAAATTTTCGCTTAGTTTACAGTGTAAATAAATAGTTTCATGTGAAAACTTCAGGCAACAAATCGATCGTAAGCGCCGTGACCCTTGAAGGTCAAGATAAGTAGTAACGTAAATTAACGAAATACGCATAACGCAACGAGTTTTGCTCGCTTACGGGAAAAGTTGCATCGCAAAAGAGTTTTAAATTTACCTTACAGGACGAAGGAAAAATTGGAGTAAAATTTTGATATTTCTTTCCCTGTCGGGGTGCCGGAATGAATCATTTTTAAAAGGTCGTCATTAACCCTAGGAATGAAAACGTTTTTGTTTTTTTTTGCCGGGAAGGACAGCAAAAGACAAATAACCACTGGGGTCGTCCTAACTTACTAAAAATAAATGAATGTGATATATTAATGTCTGGCTCGTTTGCTTGTCAGACAGAGGAAACGGAAAGATTGTTTGCCCAGGTCACTTAACAGAATGTTATGTCAGTAAGGAATATAGTAATAACTAAATAAAAAGAAAATGCTTGATTTGAGTACCTATCTGTTTGATCAGGGACATGACGTGCTCAGGCTTAAATATTCAAAAGGATTGCCACGTTACAGAAAATTCGCAACATTTAAAATGAAGAGAGACCATCTAGTTGTACGTGATAACTTATTTTCATCTTTTTTTTTCAATATAATAATAATAATGTTGATGATGATGATAATAATAATAAAAAATTTTTGTAATTGTATATGGATGGATGTGATCGTTTATTTTAGTTGAACATAGGTGGAATGTATGGACTAATTCTCGATTATTTGACGCGATGAACAAACGTCAATCTACAGGTCTTTCTCAAAATAATGCTACTCACTCAGGCAATCACATTATCACATCTATCGTGTAAATTTAAACTTTCATGTTTCTAGGAGACCTGTACTAATTCTTATCAATTACACCTTTTACAAAGCTTTCTGATAAAGCTCCCCCCCCCCCCCCCCCCAGATTTTAGAAACCCCATCCCCTGTTCACACAGCGGTTCCCATAAATCAATGCAGATTTCTATCAACTCTAGTTTCTTTTTAAAAAGCACACTTTTGCAAAGCAAGCATGAGAAAGATGAGAGTTTGGATTCTGTTAATCATTTTGGGATTAGTTTTGTCAGGGAACACCAACAGTGTTACTGAGAAACTTAATAAGAAACGGGTACAGAGAAGCAATTCGCGAGCGCTTACCACGATGATTCAACAAGACCAGACAAGTTTAAAAAGTGAAGAAATTGATATAGTAACAGAACTATTCAACGTCAATAAGAAATCTGCTGATTTGATTCTGGGAAATTTGTTAGCGAAGCATAGACGAACCGCATACAAACCACGGGAGAGAAGAGAAAATATGAAAGAAAATGGGTTTGGAAAAAAACGCGGAAATGGATTTCAAGATTTTTCAAGACGTACGAGCTCGATCTATTATAAAGAGGCACGTGTTGACGAAGCAAGGAAAATCTGTAGGAGTGATGCTAACACAGATTTATATACTTTGAAAAGATACCCGAAACCTCTGGAATATGAGCGGATCATTTTAAAGGATGCCCGCTCAAGTAAAGCCCTGTGCTTAGATGGTACACCGGCAGTGTATTTTCTCAGAAAAAGCAAAGCCAGAAATCAAGGAAAACGATGGATCATTTTTTTCCCCGGTGGTGCGTGGTGCTCAAGCAAAGAACCATGTTTTACTCGCTCACAAACAGATCTTGGATCAAGCAAATATTTTCCTTCTCTCGCCAAGCAAGGTGGCATTTTATCAAGCAACCGTTCCAAAAATCCCTATTTTTACGACTGGAATGTTTTATATTTGCAGTACTGTGATGGTAGTTCGTTTATGGGGAACGTTGAACAGCCTGTATTGCATGGAAAGGTTTATCTTTACTCTAGGGGATTTACAATTCTGAATGCTTTCCTGGACGAAATTATTCCCAAATATTTATCCAAAGCCCGTGAAGTAGTCGTGGTTGGCATATCTGCTGGAGCTCTTGGTGTTTTGGCAAATGCAGATTTGATTTCGTCTCGCATTCCACAAGCCATAAAGGTACATTTCGTATCAGATGGTGGGTTCTTTGTAGACGTCCGTTGTAGAGACAAACAGTATGTATTTAGTCGCTGGATGAAAAGCTTGCATGTTTTTCACAATATCACAAGTGCTCTTCTTCAAGATTGCATGGTAAGCTTTAAAAGACAAGAATGGATGTGTCTAATGCCAGAGAACATTCTACGTTTTACAAAATCTTCAATAGCGATCATCAACTCCATGACTGACGCTTGGCAGCTCGTAAATCTTAAAGGTGCTGAATGTGGTTATGCGCCGCGTTCTTGCGACAACTACGAATTAGGCTTAGCTCAGCAGCTGCGTAATTCTATGACGAAGTCACTAAATCCAATTACGGGCATGGAAAACATTTCTTTATTTCTGTATTCTTGTATAAGGCATTGTATGATTCACCAGTACAAGTCATGGCGGTTTTTGAAGGTTGGGTCCATGACGTTAGAAAAATTTGTTTATGATTTTGTTAGCGGTGAAAAAAATGTTCAACTAATTGAAGATCGTAATGGCAATCCAGTTTGTACATTGTAAGACCTGTCTATTTACTTGTTTAAAGCCCGGTGCTCGCTAGCCGACGCAACTACAAGCCGCCGCCGTCGGCTAGTGCATGTCAGTTCTCACTATAAAAAGAAGCGAAGCAAGCGCAAACGCTAGAGCAAGAGAACGGAAGATCATTACTACCCACTGCCACCAAGACTAGATTAATTATGGCCCTAAAAAACACCACTATTACTTTTAATAGTATCATTATATTATCAAAGAAACGGAGCTGAATAGGTTAAAGGACGACGCCGTTTAAAAAAAGAAAATAAACGAAACTCGTGAAACAACCTTTCTACCAACGATACTACGAAGATTTATTAATAACACGTCATGGCGGTTACTTTTGAGAAGTTTGAAGAAAGACTTCGGTTATCGAAAACGAATAACGGCTCGACAAATCACGTTGCTAGACATCGAAGTATCATCAAAGGATAAATGGATTAAAATGGTTTTTAAATGGAATTTTAACGCGACCTTTAAGTAAACAGGGAAAATGGTTAAATCCACAACGATTCTGTACATTTAAAAATAAGTTTACATATCATGACAAAATAAAAGGGTTTTAGTAAAACAGAATGACAGGTCTACTTTCTGTTTTTTTTTTACAGACTGTAACTAAACGCCACCACCATCGATCTTAATCCAGACCCCCCGCTAGTTATTTTCTTCTTTTTGTTTCGATTTTTTTWAAAAATATACGTGTTCGTTATCGTCTCAAAACTCTTTTTGTGGCTGACTTTAATGTTATTTGAAAAGTTTAGACTCTAAATAAACAGCTTTCTCACCAATTCTCAGTCTGATCACTACGGTAAGTATGTTATCTTATGAATGTGGTTCAGGTGACAAAGATGGCCACTTGAACCGATTTCAACCGTCATAATTGCTGGCATTAACTAAAGGATTATGCTATTATTATCACTTTTATTAAAAAACTAAAAGGGTGATGCTAGTATGACAGTTGTCGGCCTGGTAATCTTGATTTATGTYCAACCATTTTTTACTAGCTTTATTTAGCTTTTTTTTTAACTCGAAGCGTAGTAACGAATCACTTGTGAGGGCTTTGTATACTCACTCGCTCAGTAAAGTTTAAAAAAATATTAAATGATTTTAACTGTGATTTAAACAATTACAATCGACTTACGTAGAGAGATAGATAGATGCTTTATTTTAACACGGTAAACTCTTCAATATTTACAATTAGTAATAATAATGATAATAATAATAATAATAACAAACTTACTATTATACTTATTAAAACATAAATCTACTCTACGAATTAATTAATACTTTGACTAATAATACGTCAGTGCGGCAGAGAGGGAGATGGGCATCTTAGTCAGTATGAGGAGTAGAAAAATGACCTACTGCCTAAAGAACAGTAAAGTAAACCAGAGTGAGGGAAGAGAGTAACTTTTTATTGATGTACTAATAGTTGGTTATCTTGGTTATTTAAGAAAACTCTTGGTGATCGTGCTTTCTAACGCGCTGCGCTTAAGGATGGAGCCTACTATTGTCAGAGCGCACACTTACTGCGCATCTGCATCGAGGGATTCCCGCGGGTTTCAAAAGCAAAACACTCAAAGGTACAGAAAATGACGTCGGCCTTGGAAAAAATTAAGACCAAGAACAACAGCAATAACTATTATTTATGTAGTCAAAGATGGATCACAGAGTAATCTTCAGTAATTCAGGTGTTTTTGGCGAAAAAACATGTTTTTACTTTCTAGAAAAAGCAGTTTCGATGGCCTCAGATTGGTGAATGATAAAATAACTTTTTCAATATTTCCATACAGATAAGCTTAGTTTGTTTTAAAGTTAAATGAAAATTGAAAAGGAATTACACATTACACCAAATAGCAGCCATTTATTTAGCTTTTCCTGCGAGTACAACTACATAGAATAAGCTTTTGTCGTTAGAAGGCCTCGTATTTACATAAACTGTCTCACTAAAAAGTATATTCAAAAACGTTCACGCAAAGAGCATACTGACAAAGAAAATTATTATTTTGATTTATTAAATCTGTCTCTTGCACTTGTGAAGTTAAACTAAATGTAGGTTTGTATTTTACGAAAGTTTTTGCCTGGTTCTTGCTTTGCATGCACTGCCGTGAAACATTCATGAAAAGCAGTCCTTTTTCCGACTTCAAAAAAAATTTTACATACCATTTGCTTAAGAAAATTTTTTCTTCTACACAGGAAATAATTACAGTATTTGTTATTGCTCTTCGAATTGGATAAGTTTTCTGGTACTTTGATGGCTTGAAATATCGCTTTTTTCAGTTTTCCTCCTGCTTGTAAAACCACGAAGAGATGAAGGAGCTGCTGCAAACACGCCAAAAACAGAGCGAGTCACGCTGTTTCGTAACGCCGCGTCACGCTTTTAGCACCCTATTTATCCTCAAAAAAATATTTWAAAAAATCATATCTTTTTTAAAACGCGTGAGTAACCCCCATTTTTATTCGTTCAAAGTGTAACAGAAAATTATTTTGTATAATAGAATTTTTAAAATTAAAATGGTTTTGGATGCAAATGTAAGCAAAAGTGTAGCATCCCTTTAGAACCAAATTTTACACTTTTGAAGACAAAGTTTGGTTAAAAAAATGGTTTCTTATATGATACATAAAAGTTTATATATTTGATATAAAGAGCACAAATAGTCGTTTATTTGAAACAAGTTTCAGATAAAATCGATCAAAACAACTTCATAATATGATTTTTTCCCCTTGCGTAAAAAAGTGCTTACGTCATCGGTGTTTAACGTCAATTATCTCGCTTAGATGCGTGGGTACCCCCAATTTTTTTTCGGATTCCAGTGGCCTCTTGGGTGATTTAAATGACTGGCACAATTTGAAAAATATAAAAATGGTTCGCAATAAGTAGGCACCATCCTTAAGTTATGGAAAAAATCTTCCTCTTGAAATTAGAAGTTCCAATTCTGTTTCATATCTTAAGGTGCCTGACTACTCATTTGAACGTTCGGTTTGATCCCACGATGTGCGCTTGCTCAAAAACCGCTGAATAATTTTCATGATTTTATTGAAGAACCATACACGTTTTGAACTTCAAGATGGCAAAACCCTCAAATTTTGCACGGGACTCTATACTTTTTTTGTTATTTTCCGGAATAACAGGTAATATCCCATTATTTTTCAAAGTTTAATACAATTCTGTTGATTAGAACAATGTAAAAAATCGTTTTGTTTTGTGCTCAATTTTTACGATAACTTGCACACCGTGGAACCTGTACAAAAAAAGGTTTTTTCATTGTCTTCAATAGTTTATTAAAACAACTTTTATCAGTATTTTATAAATACAGCGTAAGTTACGTGTTCGGAGAAAAATACTCATGTTTCTTCCTTAGTTTCGGTTTTGTAATTTTTTTTGTATAGAGCTTGATTTTTTCGCTATTTTTCTTCGAAAATTGTACAAACTCATGTCATTCCGGAGTGATTATCTCAAGAATGAGCTCGGGACACCCCATGTTTCTTTGCATTTTGGAAATCAGCATTAAATTTCAGATTAAAGAAGTTTCAATTTTCTGTTCATTATTTACCAAAGTAGTCAGCCACCTTAAATCTCAGCTTAAGACATTTTTATAAGTGCTTATAAGCCTTTACACAATATTTTCAGAATTGATTCTTTA